CCCACCACTTTCCCCCAGGGCTGCAGAGTCAGCCTAGGGCACGGCCCCCGCTTCATTTGTGCCAGGGCTGGGTCCTGGCCCCGCCAGATTTGCTGCCTCCCTGGTGAGCCTAAAATCATCGCGGGAAACCTGGCCCCGGTAGGGACGCGTGGTAGCACTCGGGGCGCGAGCCGCCTCGCTAGATCCCCGCCAAAAATGTAACTGCTCAGTGGGGTCCCTCCCCCAGTAGCATCAGTTGCCTATGCCTGGCCCCTCCCCGCCCCCACTGCAGCGGGTTGCAGCAGCAGAACGTGCAGCCGCCTCTCCCTGCATTGCTGCAGCGTTAGGTGAAACAGGGTAACCGTGTCCCAGTTTTGCAGGCCGGTTCGTATGCCTGAGCTCCCCTCCCCCATCTTCTGCAGGCAGCAACATGCACCATCTTCCGCCCCAGCCTCTAATCTCACTGGAGCTGGGAAGAGGACACTGGCCTGCTTCCCAAGCAGTAGCATGAGCCCTGGCGTGGCTGATTTAGTCAGCGCAAAAAGGGATTTTAAGACTGTGGAACAGAAAGGCTTGAGTGAGTCCCTACAGCACAAATCAAGGGGGTGGGGGGGAGAGGGATAGAAAAACCAATGCAAAGTTAGAGATCTTCTTGCAAGTCAGGTCAGACAAGCACCACGGCTAGCTGAGGCAGGCTGCTCACCTTGGGGCTATTGTGTCCTGCCTCGTGGTTCGGGGAAGAAGGATGTCATTGAATGAATTTTGGAACCTGGTTGTGGACCAGCCACACTCCCAGAAGGGGTGAGGCTGAAGACTAATCTCTCAGAGTTGGCTGGGGTAAAGGAAGAGGTTGCTCCAGCTCCTTAACCATAACGGATAAGCATTACTTGCTTATCTTGCTGATTCTGGGCTTCACACAGTGCTGCCACTTTGAAACATGGTAGTGGTATCTCATAAGAGTGATGCTTACCAGTTAACCATTCACATGCCTACTGTAAACAGATTTTTTTTGTTTAAAGAGCCACCCTAATAAGCAGAAAAAGGTAGCAATAATAGGCTACAATTTTCCTGTGTTTCAATTCTATACGTCTGTGATTAAAATAACCATTTTAATACCATTTTAAAAACACATCTGGCCCCGCAAATCTATTAAACATTACTGTAGCGATCATCTATCCTAAATAGAATTCCCCCATACAGATTAAAGGGCACCATTTTTTTTGAAATATGGAGCACAAACAGCTCTCACTGATTTCTCTGAGTTAAGAGTGCACAGCTCTTTTGAAAAATCCAGCCCAAAAAAACAACCATCTCTGCTCCAACTTAATATTAACAAGCAATTAATTTACTAGTCAAGTAGTCAATAGAATTTCCATTTACTACCCATAGGCACATCGATGTTCTGCCTTTGAAATGTGCAAGAGCCCCAGGTGGGGGCTCTTGTGTATTTCAAAGCACCCACATGAAGGACTCAGAGTCCTGCACTGGCCCCAGGCTCCATGCTGCACTTCCTCTTTGAAATGCACAAGAGCCCCCACTGGGGACTCTTGTACATTTCAAAGCTGGCAAGCTGCACAGAGCCCAGGATCAGCTGGGGACTCCGCGTAGTATTTCAAAGCAGCAGCACTGCTTGGAGCCTGGGATTAGCAGGGGGGACTCCCCAGCTGACCCCTGGCTCCCTGTGGCATGCCAGCTTTGAAGTGTACAAGAGTCCTGATCAGGAGCTCTTATGCATTTCAAAGTGGCTTGGAGCCCAGGATCAGCAGGGGACTCCCTAGCTGACTCTGGGCTTCACACAGCGCTGCCACTTTGAAACGCTGCAGTGGTGTTTCAAAGGGGCAGCGCGCCCTACTCCAACTAGCTTAAAGTGTCAATATTGCCAAATCTTACAATATTGCTGTTTTTTGTAAAGTCTGAAATTTTGAAATTGTGTGATTAGGCAATAATCAGCTTTTTTTGTTTGATTTTTTTAAATTAAATTTCTAGGCCTTGGGATTCCAAAGAAAAGCTTTAAAAGCTATACATACCCACAGGGGTTAAATAAAAAGAACTTAATGGAGATGGGGGGGGGAAGGGAGACGAAGGCTCAACGGTTATTTTAATCAGTCAGGTTGGCATTATTAGTAAATACTTGTAAACCACTTGTCACATACCTGCCAGCTACACAGCTCAGTGTTCTCTGTAGCCCCTGCTACAGTTGATGACATCATCAACTCCTAAAGAAGTTTAAATAGTTCCCTATAGCTGCTGCAGATCCACACATCTATTTCTTCAAAGTATAGCTCTGATCTTAGGTCTTAGACCATTACTACCTGTGCTTTATGCCAGCAATCCTGGGCTATGTCTAGACTGGCATGATTTTCCAGAAATGCTTTTAACGGAAAAGTTTTCCGTTAAAAGCATTTTCGGAAAAGAGCATCTAGATTGGCATGGACGCTTTTCCGCAAAAGCACTTTTTGCAGAAAAGCGTCAGTGGCCAATCTAGACGTGCTTTTGCGCAAAAAAGCCCCGATCGCCATTTTTGCGATCGGGGCTTTTTTTGCGCAAAACAAATCTCAGCTGTCTACACTGGCCCTTTTGCACAAAAGTTTTGTGCAAAAGGGACTTTTGCCCGAACGGGAGCAGCATAATATTTCCGCAAAAAGCACTGATTTCTTACAGTAGGAAGTCAGTGCTTTTGCGGAAATTCAAGCGGACAGTGTAGACAGCTGGCAAGTTTTTTCGGAAAAGTGACTGATTTTCTGCAACTGCAGGAAGCAGCTGTTAAACCTTAATCCTTCTAATGCTATGCATTGTGTACTTGGTTGTCTTTAGCTTTGCCTAAGTTAGCAAAGTAACCTGTTGCTGACAGTGTATTTCAGCAACAGGGCAAACAAATCCCTACTAAATAATTTAGTTGTAAGGACAGCTCAATTTAACCAATTTCTAGAATGGCCTGGTCGATGGTTTATCTTTGGCAATATTTGCCTTTAAAATCACAGTCAGCACCATTTCAGATGCAGTTGTTGCTCACCTGCACTCGTATCAGTTCACCCAAGTGGCAGAAGCAATTTAATAATTATCAATCCAGAAAAAGGGAAAAGCAAAGCAGCCTGATACTGGAACAGAACCATTATTTTATAATTTTAGAGAGTGAGTGTGCCTGTCAGTGAGTCCGTCCGTGTCTGTTTGTTCAAGAATTCCTCCTAAACAGTAAGAGCTAGGGCCACCAAATTTAGTATGCTGCTCCCTCTTATCTTATAGCAAGGTCAGAGTTTGGTTGTGCCAGGAAAATGAGAGATGCCTGGAATGGGATTGTTTTCCATAACACAGAAATGGAAGAGACAGAGAGCAGGGACAGTTGTACTTTGCAATGATCACTGCAGGCAGCAAGCATGGGGTGCAGTGACCGGAGTGGGGCAGCTGCACCAGGAAGACAGTGGCCAGCTGAAGCCTGGGCTCTCCATGTTGTCATTCACTGGCCCCGAGTAAGTGTCCCCCGCCACCTCAAGCCTCTCATCCCCTCATGTTAGATGGGGGCTCTGCCAGCCAGTAGCCCTCACGCCCAGGTCCCCCCAAGAGCACCACCAGGGCCTGGCAGCCTATCCTTGGCTCCCCACCAAGTAACTGCTGGCTAACCAGCAAGGTCCCCTCCCTGCTCCCAGAGACACTGGCTGGGGCTGCTAGCCAGAGTGACTCTGACTCCCTCTGCTCCCCCCAGTGTAGACATGGGCCAGGCCAGGCCAGGCCATAGGTGCCAGAGCAGCACAGTTCTTACTGTCATATGCACTCCAATAATTGCCCCCAGACCTGACTCCTTCACCCACATCCCCGCATCTGCCTTGTTCCCCCACAAGGACTGGAGAAATGCCAGGTAAATCCTCTAGTGTATATCAAAATAAAAAGCTTTGTGCAAAAGGACTTTTGCCCAAAAGGGAGCAGCACAGTATTTCCTCAGTTCTTGAATTCAGTAATTCAGTGTTCTTGCGGAAATTCAAGCGGCCAGTCTAGACACAGCCAAGTTGTCCTCGGTCCTCTTTCTTTAAAAATAAAACCTTAAGGAAAAACAAAAAAGTTAATAGAATCTTAAGGAAGTCATTTCCTTGTCCATAGTTATGGAGCCAACACCTACATATCACTGCAAAACAGCAGCTTGAAGTGCTAGAATCAGTAGTTGTTGTCCAAGAGAGATGTAGTTTGCATGACTGAACTGATTTTATGTAGAGCTGCAGTCCCATGGAAGCAGCCTTTATCTAGTTCTATCATTTTTTCTTTTTTTAAAAAGATGTTCTGGAATGGTGACTAAGTCAGGCCATTGACTTACAGAAATCAGTTATGGAGAGACTCAGAAGGTATGCTGTGATAGATGGGGCAATTTCTCGCAATATTCTATACAACCTTTATTGAATTAAGTGTCAGCGTTTTAGGAATTCACTGTATTACAAATATATATGTTATTGTGAAATCATATGCAGCACCTTGAGGGAGGAAACCTGATTAAGTGATTAATGTAAACCCTGGAAAGTGCTATCAGCTTCAAAGGGCTATCTAAAACAAAGTGAATATGTAGACAGCCAAGTAGGTTTCTTTGGAGAAAACTGGAAGGAAGAGAATGCAAATTGTCTATCTTCTGACCCATCCTTATAAAGTTACACCTGGAGGAGAAAGCCTTTGTCTTACTGATCACCTATTCACTATCTAAGATCCAAGGGCCAAGCCAAATAAAGAAGAGATTCAGACTCCTCAGTGTGCTTGTTCCTAACCTCTATGGATATGAACTTATAACCAAGTTTGAAGGACTGATCACCTGCTTCAGCCCTTGTTGGCATAGAAGTACGCCCTGGTAAACATATCAGTGTCTGTGTAGGTTCTTTTATTGTATTAATATGTTTTCTCTATAATGCTTTTACCTTAATGTACTTGCTTAGAAAGAGCTGTGTGGTAACTTAACTGTGGGCAATCAATATATAGTCTTTGAAGAGAAGGCAAAGCAACAGTTGGCCTTGCAGGGGAATTTATAGTATAGGCAGGGAATTGTGCAGTCTGGAAATACCTGTGTCAGGAGGAAGTGAGATATTTCTCCACTCAGGATGGGAACAGGTGAGGAACCAGAAGCGTGAAAGGGGGCACCTATACTGGGCCACTGATGGGGAATATATGGCAAGTAGTAAAACTTTTACAGCATACTTGAATTCCTGAGTAAAGCCAAGTAGAAGTTAATGTTTTTGGCTAAATGCATTTAATCGCCACACAGGAAAACAAATGACTGAAACATTGAGTTAAAAAACATGATTCTGGCCACTATTTCCTACAAATCCTATAAAACAAAGTTTATAAAACTTGTATGCTTTTAATTCATAATTGTGTATGACAAAAAGAATACTAAACCAGATACATTAACACGTTTTCACAGACTGTAAAAGAGAAATATTTGCCTACCAATATGCAAAGAGCTGCACCCAAATTCCTTGTATCAAAATAGGATTAGATCATTTAGGCTTAAATTTACACAATTAACCTTACATTCCCTTGTTTGTCAATTTCTACAATGGAAAGTTCTTTCAAGATTTTTAGGCTGGAATTGGTGGCTTTCATATTCATCTTGCTCATCTGTGCAACACTCAATGGTGCGCTGCAAGACAAAAAAAATCAAACAATTCAGCTGAATATTTCATGAAATCTGGAAAGACAGAACTCTGAGTTCTTATAAATTATTTCTTTAAAAATGTTACTTAAGCTCTTAAGGTCTATACTAGAAACATTTCCCAGTATAGCCATGTCTCTTGGCAGTATATGTTGGGAGTGGGTGGGGGGCAGAAGAGTTTATAATAGTTGTATACTGGCAGAAGTCCTACTGTGGACATTTATAGCAGTGTAGAAGTGTTTTATAGCTATAGCTCATTTAGTTTGACAAATTGGGATACGGTATACTGCAAAAGTATTTTTAAGCAATTTACATTGGAATTACCCATAAGATGTTTTATTGGTATAGCAATACAGGCAGTCCCCGAGTTACGCGGATCCGACTTATGTCGGATCCGCAGTTACGAATGGGGTTTTTCTCGCCCCGGAGGACGGGAGCGGCAGGACGCCCAGATGTGCCGCGGTCCTGCCGCCCGCGTTCTCCGGGGCGAGAAAAGCTGCTCCACATCTCCCTGGCACCCGTCGCGGGGGGCGCCGCCCTCACCCCC